CTTGTATGGTAGTATAACCTGATATATATTGTATTTTGACCTTGTATGGTAGTATAACCTGATATATATTGTATTTTGACCTTGTATGGTAGTATAACCGCTACTACACTGTGTATGTTTTCCTTGTATGTTGATCCTGTGGTATATATAGCCGTCTGATAGATGTTAACCTTGTATGGTGACCTTGTGGTAGATATATAGTCCTGGTATGAAGCCGTCTGATAGATGTTAACCTTGTATGGTGACGATGAAGATCCTATTTTGTTTTACATTTCATCACTGTGTTTTATGTTTCAGTGTGTTGACGCTATAGTATATATTATCCGGGTGTGTTATTACTGTGGTACATTTTGACCTAGTGTTTTGACGATTTGATATATTTTTTATTTTGTTTTGACGATTTGGTATATTCTGTCCTTGTAAATTCAACCCGGCTTACATCAAACGTCCATATGATGACCATACAAGCAATGCCCGCAGGGCGCCATCGATCACTTACTGATTCCAATATCCATTCATCTGATTTGGAGCGTGACCAAAGGCATGAAAGAACACAAAAACTGTAAAGAAAGTTTCGTTGGGGTATTTATGCTAATGAGCAGAGTCAAAGGTCACTGGAAAATCGAAGAGAAACTTGATATCAAGGGAGTTTGACAAATTAATGTCAGGCGGACCCACACAGACCAGGCAACATGTAAGTTCATTACGATTTATGTAATTTACATAATTTACATAAGTTTATGTTTTCTCAATGTCAAATCAAAAGTAGGGACATTGAGATTTTGCCTGCATCTTTAAAAAATTATATCAAATAAAGGTTAAACATGATCTTGAAATTGACACCTGAATAGCTCTCTGTATGAAAATCATGTTACAGACACAAACATATATGTATCTATTGTTCAATATTTAAATCTATTCACTTAATACATAAATCATGATTTATATTTTCCCTGTTTTTTTCTCTCAAAAATATGGATAAATAATTTGAAAAATTAAAAAATACTATAAAAGCGATCATAGCTCCCTTCTATGTTTCAGGTTGAGGATAATAATTGTAGCCTGCCTCATGGTTACGGTAGCTGGCGTCAATAGTGGATACGGATCGAGTGGTGGCTCCTACGGGTACGGCGGCAGTGGCGGCTATGGATACGGCGGCAGTGGTGGCTATGGATACGGCGGCAGTGGTGGCTATGGATACGGCGGCAGTGGTGGCTATGGATACGGTGGCAAGGGTGGATACGGTGGCTACGGTGGCAAGGGTGGTTACAGCGGATACAGTGGCTACGGAAAAGGCGGTGGACAGAAAAAGGGTGGAGTGGATTACCTCTCTCAAACATTCATCCCTTTGTCTAGCCCTTCCCTTCCCGACTTTACGCTTACTGGACGTGATTCAGGCTCTAAACTCGGCTCTGGACTTGGTCTTCTTGCTGCCTTTGGAGGTAAGATTATTAGTTTTTATAATTCATTATTAGCTATGTATCTTTTTCGATTGAATACAAGTATTTCATAATAATCACCGTCCATGATTATTTTTTTCTGTTTGGCAAAGACAGGCATACTACTCGCACGACTCGGTGGAAATTATCCATTGGATCATATAAAACTTGTTAGTTAACACAACTATAAATATATAAGCATGACAGAAAAATAGACAATCATCTTCACTTTTAATAGCATTTCGACTGTTCCTTGGAGAGTATAAAGTATAACAATCAAACTTGATGAAAAGGGTAACATATGGTTTTGGTATGAACATTTTCTCTATATCAATGTGAATGAAGAGAATTGCTTTTGAATTGCTAACAATGTCGTAACTTAAAATATTGCTTTTCGCTTTCAGCTTTCGCAATTCTGTTTGCTTTGACGAGAAACTGATCAAAACAACCCGATTTGTTGGTGGATTTCAAAGGTACAGTAACTTCAAAAGTTTCCATTTCTCAACTAAGGTTTGAAGTCGATGACAATGATGAGAAATTTTTTTTTACGATAACACAATTTCAAACTACATGTTCTATGTTTTTACAATTTCATTGAAAAATCATGCATTAACATCGACAATTGCATTCACGCACCTTTTTTTTAAATAAATATAAAACAATCTGTTAATGCTGATAGTACTTATTTCATTATTTTGTCAGGTTTAAGTAACATATAACAAATGTAATACAGATAACCTTCCGTTGTCCCCGCTGTCCATGATAAGTGTTACATGTATATTCGCATTAAAAAGAAGAAAGTAGAACTATTTCTTCTTTTTTCTATTTCTTCTTCAGTTCGCTTTCCTACCAACCATTTAGATTTCAATCTAATGACGTATTTTGAACCGTCAATGTTGGACGAAAAATCAAAATGTTATAATGAAAATTAATGAACTTTGATGCAGCGGAATCGATTATTTACATATACCTTTGAAGGATGATTTTTGGTTTAGTGATACTGCATTCGTTATAAAAATGAAATAATATACAATATTAGATAGATATCAAATGTACATTACTTCCCAGCAGTTTGTTACAAGTGCGTTGGCTCTTTCACGTGTACAATTGAGTGTTGTTGACAATAATGATTTAACAGCTAAAATCATATTCTAAATCATTTGAGATGAGACACGGCATTTGATTGGTCGATCAAAATAATTTGCGACAGTAAAACCACGAAATTTCTCCTTTGCATATGAAGCCCGGATGGCGATTATCAATGACGTCGATGACCTCGACTGACCCTGACACGTCATGAAGTCACGAACAATAGCTCCGCGTCGCCATTAAAACTCAATTTGCGACAGTATAATCACGATATACCGCCCAAATTTCGATATACACTAGGGTTATCCCCTTATTAATGACCACCGAATATCGTAGCATATACGGAGCTGAAATCTGTGTCCTTTCAATAGCATTTTCAGTTGTAGTTGTTAAAGGTTTTGTCATTACTTTGAACTTATACATCGGTTAAAATACTTGGATACAACTTCTGCTGAAAATAAGTTTCATTTGTATGTGGTTGCACAGCTATGGAATTCATCATTCGTCAATGTGACACTCGCTATCAGGCTACCGGATGGGATCTTCCAAACTTCAATTTAGATTTGGTCCTCTAACCTCTTACCGTATAATATCTCCACTTGAAAACGATCTACCTGAAGTCAGGTATTCCATGATTCCTTATCATTGGAAGCAGCAACATGTATTCGTCACATGATATAATGACATACATACCAACAAAAATACACAATAAGGTTAGGCGACATACGATGACTTGTCGCTAACGTCACGCTTTCACAAACGGCACGTTACCCAAATTGGTACACGGTCAAAAAATGTTTGAATAGTACTTTGAAATGAAATCTGTGTATTTTCCTCTGATTGTATTATAAAAGAGATATTTATCAGCATTTTCACCAGACCAATTTGTTTTCAGCCCCATTTAAAGAGTGCAAGGTGACATCAAAGTAAACATGTCGGAAAACCAGAAAAAAACGACACACGTCGGCAGAACTTTGGAGTATTTGAACGGGTTACTTCTGTATGATATTTGTGAAAGTAATGTTATTAACATGTTATTCGACAGGACTCGGTCGACCTCGTATATTTCAGAGAAACGGACCGTGATAGGACGACTCTTTACTGTTCTACATTGATGTTTTCCGTCGAGCGTTGTCAAATATTTAATTAATTATTTTTTTCTAAAACTATAAAATTGACATTGACTTTGATTTTATTTAAATGCATAACGCATTATAATATAAAAACAGTAAATTTGATTTAAAGAAAAACAATGACGAAAAGGAATACGACCACTAATTCATAGTTTATCTTGTTTTCACATAAAACATTTAATCAAGATATCAAAATATATAATTTTATGCAAACGTTACGTTTAGCAATGCAGTGTTTTCTTTCATATGAACATCAAATATGTTTGAAAGTGATTACTAATATATAGGGATTGAACGTCATTGTTTTTAATTTTATGAACGCAAATCGGTTACATCCATATTGCATGGAGCCCGCTATCCATAACTTTTCATTTTTACTATAGGACAATCGTTTAATTTAATTTATTTGTTCTTAAATAATAAATTTAATCACTTCGTTTTGTATATGCGTCGTCCTTTAAAATACATTGGCAGAACAGGCATATTTAAATAAAATTGGCGCCAATAATTTGACGTAGTCATTTAAGCGTTTGTCGCATGGGCATTCTCCATGTTATCAGAAGCAAAGCGACAAGACTCTCATTGGACAAGGTTAATATATGACGTCATAATTAAATCACGTGTCACATCACGATAATTTCTGCTTTAATGCTCAAATATTTCAATTCCTTATCAAGTTGGACTCAATGCAACTACCAAATGTAATCTGTTTCATTTGCCGATGAATTTGACCAGATTAACATTGCATGTGCGTACGATTTTGCGAAGGGAGATAACTATTGATGAGATTTTACATTTTTATTTAAGCTACACAAGAAAACTAACAACCAAAAACGATCATCAGCAAAACATTACCAGCTCACGGTTTCTATCGGCAGTTACAAGTCATGTAGTGCCCTAGAAATTCTCCCTCCAGCTACCCTGCCTTTCGGACAGTATCAAGTTCAACCCCGTTACAATTCGAAAACTTTTATGAAATGCAGTCGAACAGCCAACTGCCATATCAAATTGTTTCGTCCTTTCAAGCCACGTCTGGTTTCCTGTTCCTGTCTAATTCGACATTCAGTTACTACATATTCACATACCAGAAGATGTAGAACCTTGAAATTTAGTGGCTCTCCACTTCGAGCAAGTAAGAAGATGGCTGCCGCAGACTCTCAGCTGAGCCTGCGCACCGCGTCTAGACATTATTCTTCCGCGATGACGCTCCAGAAAATTTGATATCTAATGATTTCATCAGCAAAAATAAAATATGACATTTAAAACATGGTTTTGTATTTTGTTTCTACATAGTTTGGCTGTATTGAACTATAAACGTACGCCATCATTTTGTATGATGGTCCTTCAATGACGAATCATATTTTTTAACATTACGTCGATACGAAGACTTGCACAAGCTCCAGAACCTGGGACAAACTATCAGAATGGACTTCACAAGTTCCAATTATTGCAAAAAAACACTTTGATTGAAATATACGGTTTGAAACTTGCTTTGGTCGATTTCATGGGGTGTTCAATTGATTTGGTCTTGAAACAAATCCAACATGAACTGCTTCGCATTTTCATTAAATTTGTTTCAAGACCATCTCAATTCATCACCCCATGAAATCGACCAAAGCAAGATTCAATCCTTAAATGAAATGCATTTCTGCTGGTAATGTTCATATAGTGGGTTGCAGCGCAAATGCAGACATATCGAAATATACAAGTGATGTTGTTTTCTTAAATAGAAATTAACTGTCAATTATACATCGTGTTCGGTTTAGGATTGAAAATCGTTACATACATCACTTTACATCTGGATCAGGATATGCCCTGTGATCTTTTCAGCTGAATCCACCATCACAGTACTGTCGTGAGTACCTGTAGGTGTCATGGTGTCGTGAGTACCTGTAGGTGTCGTGGTGTCGTGAGTACCTGTAGGTGTCGTGAGTACCTGTAGGTGTCGTGGTGTCGTGAGTACCTGTAGGTGTCGTGAGTACCTGTAGGTGTCGTGGTGTCGTGAGTACCTGTAGGTGTCGCGAGTACCTGTAGGTGTCGTGGTGTCGTGAGTACATGCAGGTGTCGTGAGTACCTGTAGGTGTCGTGAGTACCTGTAGGTGTCGTTAGTACCTGTAGGTGTCGATGGTTTCAGGTTTATCCTGGTTACTCTAAGATGAAATCATAGAACAAGCGAGCGATAGCAATGTAAAATAGAACAGTAGAACACATAGAACCTATTTCAATAGGTGCAATCAACGAACCTGTCTTTAATCATCTCTGTAAAATGCTTTTCTAATTTGAGATGTAATACGATATTAAATTGGTCAATCAAAATGATTTACGACCGTATAACTACGATATACCGTTCGCTAATCTTTTTTCTTATTTACATATGAAGCCCGGATGGCTATTGTTAACAACATCACTTACCCTATTAAGTCACGACAATATATATCTATCGCTTCAAATCATCGTTTCTTTTGATGATTTTAGCTTATGTGAATTATAATGAGGATAATCCTACTGATATTTGCGACTGTATATCGTGATTAGACTGTCGCAAATATCCGTTTTACTGGCTCCTCTCTGCGTCGCATGCAAAACTCAATAAGCGACAGTATTATAACGATAAAGCATAAAATTATCAATTGATTGTTTCGACTGCATGTATTTATCAGAATCGATGCGCAATCTTCTATTTTGAAAGGTGAGAATATGAATGTTTTCTAAATGTTAATTGTTGTTATAAGCCCTTTATTTGTCACAAGTGACATTCTGTACATAGCAAGATTAGGTTAATACAGGGTACATAAAACACAAGTGTTATTATATACGTAGCTATTGTAAATATGCACAGGGCAACTCATTACATGATATATCGTATATATGTAGTAATTCAGGCAGTGTAATTCATTATATCAGTAATGTTTCATACGTGGATGTAGTTATATATGACGGTGTAAGTCATTACCCATACGATGCTACATGTATGCACGTTCCTC